TTTTGCGTTATTTTACCCTATAATTTATAAAATCTCATTAATAGTGTTTTTTTTTTTTGTAACCTTCTTAAAACCCTAACCTTTTACATCTTTCTATGTAAGCTTTGAGAAACTTAAACATCTTTGAGATACACTTAACGATCATCTCATGTTGGATAATTACGGGACCACTTCATAAATATGTATGATATATTATTAAATCCAATTATTATTGTAAGAATATAAATTGTTGATGGATCGATTTATAGAATATTAACTTATATTGTGGGTTGAATTCCAGATTTGACTCAAGATCCTCAAAATCTTTTTCATCTCTCACATTAGGGTATATCTTCATCTATATATACATGTGATGAGGAGCAATCAAGAGACACGAAATAAACATATAAATTCGTTTAGGGTTTGCTAAGGGATTTTTAGAGAGAGCACTTGAGATCAACTGGAAAACTCAGCCCTAGTTTTTCATATCCAAATATTATAATGAAATAAGGTATGTAATCGTTATTTATTATTTAAGTTTTCTTTTAATTAGATTCGAGTTTAAAGATCCAAAGTTCATGCTTCCACGTTTATGTTTTTTGGTTATCCAAAGAACCAACAATTTGTATCAAAGCCCACTCGAATCTATTATTAGAATTTTTTTTATTGGTTTAAGATCTCTAAACTTAGGATACCTATTGTTCCCGTTATATTAAGATTTGAGTTTCATTATTTGCATGTTTTATTATTATTTTGATGGATTTGCCTCTTCTATCGCATCATGAGTTCCATCTATTATTCCATCTCATTGATACCATTATATTTTGTTTTATGGTATTGATAAATTAAGAAAATCGACGTTGATGGTCATACCAAATTTGGTTTTCATTATAAGGTTTATAATAAGTTCTATTATTGCTCAATATAGATTTTAAATTTAAAAAATAATAATAATAATAATAAATTAAAAAATTAAAAAAAATCATTTTTGTTTTGTAGATATATACAAAGGCTGTATTGCTTTTGTATTCATATTTTTTTTAATGAAATTGTGTTGTGTCGAAGATTTCTTTTTTTTTTTTTTTTTTTTTGTGTTTATATAACACAAGTTTATAAGAAAAACTTTTGAGATTTTGTATATTCCGCCGATATATTCACTATAATAAATCTCCATTCTTACAATCTTGCCATTGTTTAATTATTTGGTTTATAGATATTGAGTTTTTTTTGGGTTTGTGATTTATATAATATTGTTACAAAAGTAACATATATTATTTTAATTAATTTGGTTGTAAATTTTTAAAGTTTTATATTGTTAATTTTATGGTTAATGTGTTTGTTAATGCAGATATTAATCGATCTAAATGTGGGTTAATATTTGATCGAATAAACACATGTTTGATGATAAATATGTGACATATTTTAGGTTGAATGTCATTAATAAGTTAATCCAAAGAGGGGTTTATTAATGGACATGTTGCATTGTCAATTATTATTATCAAAATTTATAGTTTACATGTTTATTAATGCGTGTATTAGTCGACCCAAAAATAGATTGATATTTAGCCGAATAAATATATATATATATATATATATATATATATATATATATATATATATATATATATGGTGATAAACATGTGGTGATTTTTTGGTTTCATGTTATTAATAAGTCAATCCACAGAGGGGATTGTTAATTGACATGATTTATTGTCAATGTTTATCTCTAAAACAAGGTTATCTCTTGCAAGTTAGTATTATTGTCCAAAGATTTGATATTAATGTTGTGTCGATACCTTGTAAAGATGTCATAAATTGAATTTATTACGATTTATGGATTAATGAGCATAAAAATAGATTTGCTTATGTTTGAATTAAGGTATTATATCTGCTAACATTAATCACATTTATGATTCATGTACTCAATAAGATTAACTTTAAGGAATTGAATGAGTGCATTATGTTAGTTCTCAATTGCATGGACATTGACCTTGTATTTTGGATAGAGCAATATTTTTTTAAAGATGTTGAGTTTGGGGGAGAAACAAGGTTAAGACATTGTCTTTAAGGAGGAATCAATCTTGATTCCTATTATTGCTTTCGATAGTATGCAGATTATGAATTAGTGATCGACAATGTTATTCAATCTCCTATTTTGAATACCCAAACTCAACAACCTCAACTTTAGATATCTGTGATACCATATTTTTCATAAATTTATTATCTCTTTTGGTTTTGAAGTAAATACAGTAGATGATTTTGTGTATCATATAATTATTTTTTTTATTTTTTTTTTTTATTTTTTGACAGATATCTACACAATACAATTTTGGATCATAACAAAGTAGCCACATGGATTTTGAGATATCTGTATATAACAAAATGATATATGCTCAACTATATGAAATCAGATGTTTTGGAGATCATTTTTATTAAGAAACTGATTTTATTAGATACCAAAATGGTTTCCGATCCATCAAGATACTTTTATATTTTAACATGACGAGCCATTTTATGGAATAGACTTCGCTAGCTTCTTTCATAATAGCATCATAATTTGTAGCATAGAATATGATTGCAGAAATTTATCAGCTACACATTATTGGTATTGAAAAACCATTATAAATGTGATAATAAGTCAACAATGTTATATTCCAATGACAGAAATTCTATTAAATCAAAATATATTGACATCAAGTTTCGTTCTTTTAAATCACTATTGGAACGTTAAGTTCAAATCCAAAATATAAAAAACACAAACCATACATTAAAATCAAAAAATATAGACCAAAATATAATCAAAGAATAATACAAAAGAATCAAACACTTACACCAGTTCTCAAACCACAACTCAAAAGAATCAAACATAAACACCACAATAAAAAATGGAACATTTTAAATTTGTTCAATAACAAGATGTTGAACTTTTTATAAAAACCTACGAGTAAGTAAGCCAACAACAAACAGTCGAGTCAGTTCTACTGTTTTTGTACACACTACCAATATATTTAAAATCCTAGACCAAATATTAACATGGTAATGGTATATGTACACTCATTTTCCACCTCACATATCCATATCATCAAATATCTCACCATCTTCCTCATAGTATGAACCATCAAACCCAAATCCATCGCTCACCAAATTGCTGAAATAAATATATACATATTTATTTAATCAACCTTTTTTTTAATTAAAAATATAGTTTATTACCACCTTAAACTGCTGAAATGAAAGCACACAACGCGCTTGAGCTTCCTATTGTAAAAAAAGAAATTGTACGACCACCTACAAAAACACAAAACTCAGATATAAAAAATTAGAAATTTGTTAAAAAGTGAAAACAAAAATAAAAAATTAAAAAATAAATAAAATAAAATAATTTTCTTACAGAGCTCCTTTTTCTATGAATGGGTCAGCATCTGAGTTAGGATCATAACTGTAGACTTCACATTCTGATAGGTTGATTACCTGAAATTTTGAAAATTAGATCAACATTCATGTCTGAATATGAAGAGGGGTAGTTTTGTAATTTTTGTAATTTAGTACCTCGTCTAGAGCTTTGTATAGTGTTTCTAGAAGGGACCCATCTTCATTTGCCTCTTTCCATTCCTGAAACCACAAAATTATAGCCATCACTAAACCAAGGTGTTTTTTTTTCCTTTTGGCTGAATAAAGTAAACTATCTAGATACGAGTAAAATGACCTTTATACCCTTACATACAACAAAAAACTAAATTTATAAACCATTGGGTAAATTGCACAAATTAAACAAACAAAACCCTAAATTACCAAACCATGTACAAATAAAAACTACATACATGTTTCAAGGGTATAAAGGTCATTTTAATAATAATACCTTAGATGCATCAGACATGTAGCTGTCAAAAATTTGCTTGAAACCATCCCAGGTTTCCTCTGTGAAAAACTGGTGAGCTTTCACTGCACTGATGGAAGTGGAATAACAAGATGATATGAACAATTATTATCATTTCCTTGGCTCTGTTTTTTATTATTATTATAATTATATAATAATAATAATAATTATTATTATTATGAGCAACTGATGATTAGTTTTTGGGAAATGGAGAGAATTGAACTCTCAGCAAAGCAACAGTATCTAAACTGCCTGTCAAACCATTTGACAACACTTCCAAATGTCATTGAAGAAGGAGGATTATGTAGTGGGTTGCCATGTCGCCAATCAAAAGCTGACATGTCATTACCCATAATCCTCCTTTCATTATTTAACTGAACTTAGATATAATAAACTTATATTACCTGAAGTCATAGTCTGGATACATGTGGTATAATGTCAGAATCAGATAGATCAACATCTTCCGGCTGTTTCAACAAACATCAAACAAAAAAAAAACCAAAATAATCAGATTGAAATCTCATTCTAATCTAACTACACCAATAGTTAATGTTAACTTAACCCTAGGTAAAGGTTGCATCATCTCATTCTCACCTGGATCTACTAGAAAGATACTCAGCTGGTGAGTCGGCATCAGGTGAGTTACCAAGATAATCAAGAATCTGAAAACAGAAATCAGGATTAAAGATTAAAGATTAAAGATTGAAGACCCATTATTCAATTTTAACTATTTTTACCTCATTTTCCAAACTGAGAGAAAGTCGTTTATCCGAGCCTGTATGTTTGCCTGATTTATCAAAAAGCAAATGGGATTTTCAAATTTTCAAGTGTTTTACATAAGAATTAGTGAATTATTAGAAAATATAAGATTCTATTTCTACTCACAGGAGTAAGCTTCAATGCATCCCTTAAGGGTACGTTCTCCAAGGTTGAGGTGATCTAGAAAAGCATTTATTCTACAGAAGAAGAAGAAGAAGAAGAAGAAGAAGGAAAGACTATTTCAGATGAAATTAATTTTTAATGAACCAAAAAGATGAGAGAATTGAAGGGATTTATTAAAATATATGAGGATATAGATGAGAAAGTACCGGTCGAAAGGTGTGTATTCCAAGTACTTCATGATGAATGATGTAATGACAGGGTTTCAATATGCGCATACGTTTGAAAGGTGCGCCTTTTGAAGTTCTTGAACTACAAGGGAAAGTGAAGAAAATAAGGAATTGGGATCAACTAACTAATGATTTGCAATTGTTCACATTCCATATTGAATATTAAGATAGATTACAATCAGTTTCATTGTTTCATACTCTATCACCTTCATGCAGAATGTTTTTCCATTCATCGGTCATTTACATCGTCTAATAGGATTTCCAGAAAGTTACAAAACATATGGAATTGCAATAATTCTACAAATACATATCCATTTTACATGTTTACAGAAGTAAAAACAAAATCATGGAATTCATGTGGCGAATTTCGAATGTTCCTTTAGCATCGTACATTCGTTATCCAGATTTGAATAATGATATTCTAAAGTTACCCAATATATGATATCACTAATTTTTTTTCACCAATTTGGGGCAATATCGCGTGTCTAAAATCGATGCACAAGTCTAAAATATACACGATAGTCTATAATTTTATGTTAGATCTGAAGAAATTTGCGCACTGAATACCAAGACATTAAACTAATCCCAGTTTAGACTAACAAGAATAGTAGATCTACCTAAAATCAAACGAATTCTCATAAAGAACAGATCAGGGATCCAAAAAGGGCATTAAATCGTTTGTAGGGAAACTACGCATTGAATTATACAAATTATACCAAAATATTCATGCAAAAGGAATTCTAAATCGAAGAAAATACACGTACCTGAGAACAATTTGCAGAGAAAGAGACGCTTTGGTAAAGGGAAAAATGGACACGAGAACGATAAGTTTGAAGAGTTTGAAGATAAGAACAAGCCTAGATAATCGCGATCTCCATCTGACGAGGATTGGATATGACACTTGGCAAGCAATCGACGGTGGTGGGTGTATCCGACGGCAGAAATTCTTCATGAGATGTCAACGTCTATGAAAGATATTTATTTCAAAATCGACGGCCATTGTAATTCGATTTTATAAATCAGTCCCTCGGGTTTCAGGTTTTTGTAATTATGTTCTCTAAGACCGGACCGAGTGGGATTCGACAACCCTCGGCGAACATTCAGGCTTCAGCCATCTCAGAGAAAGTTTTTGTATTAAACTTTTTTACCTATTAATCGATTTTTTATTTTCAAAATTTTTTTAAAAATATTATTTCCTCCGTCTCAAAATTATTATTAACGTTTGATTTTTAAGTATTTCTTGTTCAATTTTAACCTTAAATAATTTATTTTTTGTTATGTAACTTTTTATATAAGATATATAAATATATTGTTTTTTAAATGTATTTTAATTGTTATAAATTTCATCAAAAATTATATAACACAAATAAAGTTATTTATCATCAAAGTTGATATGGAAAAACTTTAAAAATGAAACGTGAAAGGTGACCACTAATTTTGGGATTGAGAGAGTATATTTTTAAAAATATAACCGTTTTTTTAGAAATTCAAATTTTAAAAGTCAAACGTGCAGGACGAAGCCAGTAGGGGGCTAGTGGGTGTCTCCCCCCCCCCTCCCCCCTCCTAACTCCATTGGTATTAGTGTATTATCAATTGAAGTCCTCCTATATATTCTTATGAAGTACGTCTTAGCCCCCGCTAATCTAAAATTCTAGTTCCGCCCCTTCAAACGTGGACACTAATTTTGGGACTGAGGGAATATATTTTTAAAAATATAACCGTTTTTTTTTTTTTAGAAATTCAAATTTTAAACCCTCAATCATCAATTATAAATAGCATCATCATTATTTATTCTTCACCATATCCAAATATTTTTAATTCAATTCTTTTAACTTTCTTATTTCCATCTCCTTCAAAACATCATCGCTAATGGCTCATGTGGCTCGTGTTTGACCCCCTGAAGAAGAGACATTGTTGGCTTGTTTATGGGTTGATGTAACAGGAGACTCAATCAATATTAAGGCCAATGCATGTAGTTTTTGGGGAGAGTCGTTTAAATATACAACTGCCAAATAGGGGTGAGCATTTTGACCGGTGGATCGGACCGTTTTTTTGGACCCCCGGGCCGGTTCTCGGTTCTAAGATTTATGCCCAGTCTGGTCCGGTTTTTTTCCCGGTTCGATCCGTTTTTTTACCGGGTTTAGAACCGGTTGGACACGTAATCTGTGACGTTTTTTAAACACTCATAACTCATTCGTTTTAAGTCGGATTGACCTCCGGTATTTTCCAACATTTAGTTTACAGTTTGTAGATGAACTTAGACTATAATTTTATTTATTTTGATATTATATTCACTGAGTTACAATCCGTCAAAGTAGAGCTATCAAAGCTGAAAAAATTCAGCTTTTCAGCAAGATTTTATAATCTGTGACGTTTTTTAAACACCCATAACTCATTCGTTTTAAGTCGGATTGACCTCTGGTTTTTTCCAACATTTAGTTTAAAGTTTGTAGATGAATTTAGACTATAATTTCGTTTATTTTGGTATTGTGTTCACTGATTTACAATCCTTCAAAGTAGAGCTATCAAAGCTAAAAAAAATTCAGCATTTCAGCAAGATTTTGTAGTCTGTGACGTTTTTTAAACATCCATAACTTGTTCGTTTTAAGTCGGATTGACCTCCAGTTTTTTCCAACATTTAGTTTACATTCTATAGATGAATTCAGACTATAATTTTGTTTATTTTGGTATTATATTCACTGAGTTACAATCCTTCAAAGTAGAGCTATCAAAGCTCAAAAAATTCAGGTTTTCAGCAACATTTTGTAATATGTGATGTTTTTTAAACATTCATAACTCATTCGTTTTAAGTCGGATTGACCTCCGGTTTTTTCCAAAATTTAGTTTATAGTTTTTAGATGAATTTAGACTATAATTTGGTTTATTTTGGTATTATATTCACTGAGCTACAATCCTTCAAAGTAGAGCTATCAAAGCTAAAAAGATTCAGTTTTTGAGTGGAAGATTAGATTATGAGTTTATGAAGTTTGTTAGTTTGATTTATTTTAAAGTTTAAACTATGATTGTTTTTGTTACGGTAATACTTTTATATGTTTTTCTTAATATTGTATAACTTTTATTGGTGAACTTGATTTATATGTTAGTTGTTTTTATTTGGAAAATTAATTTTTGCAAGTTATAATATTATACATCAATGTAGATTAGTTATGCATGAAACGGAAACGTATTAATTTTGCAAGTTATAATATTATACATCAATGTAGATTACTTATACTCTATGCAATTAAAGTTATACCGGTCCAAACGGGTCCAAAAATCGGAAAACCCGAACCTGGACCCGGACACGGACACGACTCATCCGGTCCGGTCGATGGTCCACAAAATTCTCCATAACCGATCCAGTCCAAGAGTCGGTCCAATCCAATCCGGTCCGGTCCGGTCCAAATGTTCACCCCTACTGCCAAGCCCCTATTCCTCGAAACCTCGAAACATAGAAAACTCTTCTCCAAATGGAGACATTCAAATGCAATTGCAACTCGTTTTAAACAATGTGTTTCGTAAGGTGATGAATGAAGCCGCAAATGGTAAAAATGAAAATATTTTTCCAACCTTAGGGAGTTAAGGTCTTTATATAGGTTACAACACCCTAAAATTAGGGTTTCTTAATCTCCGATACGCTAAGTGTAACCCTCGTACGCCCAACGTACGAGGCCTCATATCCGTGACAAAAATCATTATTTATAACATCTCCCTCTGGCGCGTATCACAATATTGTCCGCTTTGGGCTCCCGGGATGAAAACTTCCTAGGGGTCACCCATCCCTAAATAGCTCTCGCCCGGACACACTTAACTATAGAGTTCTTATGGGATCTGTTGCCCTCACGGCTTTAAAATACATTGTGACAGATAATGTATCCATATTCCTTTTAAGGAATGTTTAGTTCTCCTTCCCATCCGATGTGGGATCAGGTGCAGCTAATCTGCCCAGCTTCACCCCCATTATAGGGTTCTACGTCCCCGTCGAACACATCGACTCGTACCCTAACTCTGATACCATTTGTAACATCCCCTTATGACACGTATCGCAATATTGTCCGCTTTGGGCTCCTGACACGAAAACTTCCCACCAAGCAAAGCACCTTCTCCTTTCTTCAAATCCTTCAAGATGAGCAAAACAAGCACCAATTCCTTTTCAAAAGCTCAAAGACATAACAATGGAGGCTTAAGGTTGATTTTAGGGTTTAGACGATATAGGGTTCGACGTCCTCGTCGAACACATCGACTTATACCCTAACTCTGATACCATTTGTAACATCCCCCTCTAGCACGTATCACAATATTGTCCGCTTTGGGCTCCCGTCATGAAACTTCCCACCAAGAAAATCACCTCCGCTTTTCTTTAAATCCTTTCAGATGAGCAAAATAAGCACCAATTCTTTCTCAAAATCTCAAAGACACAACTATGGAGGCTTAAGGTCGATTTTAGGTTTTAGAAGATATGGGGGCTGGTAAAAAGGCCAACCCTAGGGACTTAAGGTCTTTATATAGGTTACAACACCCTAAAATTAGGGTTTCTTAATCTCCGAGTACGCTAAGTGTAACCCTCATACGCCCAGTGTACGAGGCCTCGTATCCGTGACCAGAATCACTATTTATAACATCCCCATCTGGCACGTATCACAATATTGTCCGCTTTGGGCTCCCGGGATGAAAACTTCCTAGGGGTCACCAATCCCTGAATTGCTCTCGCCCGGACACACTTAACTATAGAGTTCTTATGGGATCAGCTGCCCTCACGCTTTAAAACGCCTTGTGATAGATAATGTATCCACATCCCTTTTAAGGAATGTTTAGTTCTCCTTCCCATCCGATGTGGGATCAGGTGCAACTAATCCGACCAGCTTCACCCTTAGGGTTCGACGTCCCCGTCGAACACATCGACTTGTACCCTAACTCTGATACCATTTGTAACATACCCCTCTGGCACGTATCACAATATTGTCCGCTTTAGGCTCCCGACACGAATACTTCCCACCAAGAAAAGCACCTTCTCCTTTCTTCAAATCCTTCAAGATGAGCAAAACAAGCACCAATTCTTTTCCAAAATCTCAAAGACACAACAATGGAGGCTTATGGTTAATTTTAGGGTTTAGACGATATGGGGATTGGTAAAGAGGCTAACCCTAGGGACTTAAGGTCTTTATATAGGGTACAACCCCTAAAATTAGGGTTTTTAATCTCTGAGTACGTTAAGTGTAACCCTCGTACACTTAACATACGAGGCCTCGCATCCGCGGCCATTATCACCTTAGTACGCTAAGCGTATAATGTGGTAAGCCCCTTGTACTACTCTAAGGACCAATATTGCAACAAATCAAATATAAATGGCAATTAAGGAACATGCCAACATCCAAGTGTTACAACGATGAGATAAAAATGAACTGAGGGTGTGTTTTTGTATGTGTGTGTGAGAGAGAAATATGTATCGTGGTTATAGATTTTCTAAGGAGAAAGATTGTTGTTTATTTATTTTTAATTAATAAAGTATTAAAATAAATAAGAAAAAATACAAAAAGAAATTAAAAGGGCAAAATGATCCTTTCAAATGCTCCAGAGACTAAAAACATGGGAATTATCTAATTGTGGACCTTCCATAAAACTTTTTCAACCCTATCCATACTTTTTTGCAAACCACATTATCCAAATTTATATTTTATTTATGTTTTATTAGGTTTTTGTTTTGGTAATTGATATGATCATATTAACAATAGAAAAATATCATTATCTATTTTTGATTAATCCGTAAAAAAACCTTTCATATCAACAAATGGCTAGTTTCAAAACTTTAAGCTATAAGAAATAAAATAAAACCTAAGTTTTAAATAAGGGAAGTCAAGTAAAATAAGCAGGCTTTTCAAAGAAAATAAGCATATTTGTTTAGTTTTGAAAAATAATCATTTTATTCGGAATATCTAATTCCGGAGTACTGTTCATATATATATATATATATATATATATATATATATATATATATATATATATATATATATATATCCAGTAAGAAATTTTTTTTGGTAGGAAGGTAAAAAGTTTTTTTTTCTACATACTTTTTTGATGAACAAAAGAAATGAATCAATAGATGAATCAAAAATAACATGATTCACCAAAAAAAATCTCAAAAAAACACACTGATGATTCATTTATACAATGATTTCGTTGTTATTCACTAATATTATTATAAAAGTGAATTTTTTTCTTAATTTACTTAAAAATGAATCATGAAGATGTTTTTTTGGGAATTTTTTCTTATGAATCATCTTACATTTGAATAATTTAATAATTCATTTTGTATGTTCGTTAAAAAAATATGTAGAAAAGAAACTTCTTACTTTCCTACCATAAATTTTCTTCTTATTTGATCTTGACTATATATATATATATATATATATATATATATATATATATATATATATATATATATATATATATATAGGGAAAAGTGAATATACCCTTAAGGGTATATAAGCTTAGGTACCAAAATACATCATAATACGTCGTTTTATTGGATATATTCATTATAATGTTCTTAAACATCAACCCGCAACGTTATTTACTTTCAATATTTTCAAATTTTCACTATGATCTTTCTCTTTTATCACATCTTTTTATCGAACACCTACTAAACTTTATATATTGTCGTTGAAAATGAAAATTATTTAAGAGAAAGATAAATGTGTAATTTATAAAAATCATGGAAGTAAATAAAGTTAGAAGTTAAATTACATGAACATTGTACAATTAGAATATATTATATGATATAAAACGATGTAGTATATTGAGTTTGGGTATCTAAGCTTATATATCATTAATGGTATATTCACTATATATATAACTTTTTATTTTCAAAGAAATTATTTTGTTTTGGAATTCCGAATTCTACATTTTGTACTATTTAATGTCACCGTTTTTCAATAAAATGTCTAATTTTATGAATTCATATTGTATATAGTTCATATTATTATGTTTGTTTAATTTTTTGTTAAATTAAGAAAAAAATGATTTTTTTTGAAATCCCGGAATTGTTATTCGGATTTCAAATTTGTTCTTGAAATTTTGGAAGGTTTTTTATTTTTTTATTTATTTTTTTTTTTTAAATTTGAAAGTTTAGTCTGGAATATGAATGGTACTCCGGAATTAGGCATTCCGGAGTACTGTTCATATCCCAGAATTTTAGTTTGGAATCCGAAATGTCATTCTGGAGTTAGTCAAAAAAAATATTTTTTTTTAGTCCGGAATGCCTCATTTTCGACAAAGTGGTTATTTTTGCAAAAAAATAAAATAAAATTCTTTTTTATTTTTCAAATACACATTAAAAAGTGGTTAAATTACTTAATTTTCCTTTAAATAATTACAATTAATAGCGCATAAGTTCATATACTAAAATATGCAATGTCTAGTAGGGTGGTTCAACTATATTTTGTGAAAGTGACCAAACCCTCTTAAATTATATCTATTGCAAAAACAAACCAATCAGGACACTTGATTTCATATGTTTGATTAAATGATGTGATTTATAGAGGTGAAATACAAACTAAAATCGTTGCCTCTTTATGGAAACAGGAAACATGAGGCATCTTTTCACCCATTTGCTATTGGTCCTTCTTGAAATCGAAACCTAACTATTCTTCTCTCAAAAAGACAACAATAATAAAGAAGATTATAACCTCATACATGTAGTTTACATATAAATCTTATATCAAATTTCAAGCTGTATAAATGAAGCGCCAAGATATTATTTAGCTTTTTCCTTGTATACGGAAACAGAAGAGACAAATCCATGGTAAATTTGCATCAATCCACTTTATTTTTTTTGTATAAATCTAAAAACAATACGCAAATTCCTTTTGGCCAAATTTATATAACATATCTACTTGCATATATTAAGCTTTCTCTTCAAAATTTATTTCTGAAAATGATGATATCGAAGATATCGTTTATTGGTGATCATACATTGTTTAATTACCATTAATTAGAAGGTCACCAACCAAACCAATAAAAGATTTATGAATTTGTATTTTAGCTTTAACTACACCCACTCCTTTACATTTATTTTATGTAATCAATAGCTATCACACATAAAGACACTTTTAATGACCTTTTCTTTTATAAATTAAAAGTGTACATAGTTTTAGTTTATCGGTTATAAATACTTCAATCGTATAACTAAATTTTAAAGAAGCTTATAATAAAAACAATAATTAATCCAATAATTATTATTCGTAGTCAAAAGAAGTCTCATTTGCATGCCAAACCTCTCACCCACACAACCTCCATGTTATATATAGTTATAATGCATGATAAAATATCATCCAACATTCATGAATTATGATAACGTATTACAAGATTTTATATTAATTTAATTTTATATTTTATAAATTTAGATACCAAATACACATTACTCATCTCTTAGAATATTTCACCTCGAAAAATAATCATTGAAAAAGACACGTGGCGTGCAAAGAGGATGAGGAATCCGGTCAACCTGCACGTGTCTTGCGATGATTTCTTCGAACAAAAAACTGAAAATTTTAAATTTTGGATAGAAAAAGCTCTAGAAAAAAATATTAGAAAATCCCATATACAGTTTTATACACTCGATCACGTACTATGGATGTGGAAACAATGATTCTTTTTTAAAATGAAAATTAATTTAGTGGGTTAGTATAAAAATGGCTGAAGCCATGTTATCAAGAAGAGAAAGAGGGAAATTTCGAGAGAAAAAAAAAAAAAAAAAAAAAAACACGAATTTGAACGAACAAACGAACGAAGGAATTGATATGATTCTGCAAATTTAGGGTTGCAAAAATAGATTTCTACAAGTGAAAGTGATTGAGAAATTTCTTCGCTTTAAACATATCCGATCTCCTTCTTGTAAGCTTTCTCTTTCTTCTTCTTTTCGCTTTATAGTTTGTCTTATACTCTTTTTATACATCTCTTCATACGCCTTCATCTTTGTGTTCTTTCATAGAAAGCGAAATTACCTTTCTGATCATCTGGGTAAATCATTTTTGATGTTGTTTTGCTTGTTCCTATCATCTACTCACTTTTTCCCAAATTGGGTTTTGTTTAATTGAAGTTCTTGTATAGCATCTGCTTCGTTTTATGATTGACAAAAAGAAAACCTATTCCTTTTTAGATATGAAGGGTACTAACCTTTTTTCCTTTCCTGTTAATTAGAATAATGTTTTGATTCCAATTCCAAAAAGGGTTTTGTTAATCTTAAAGAAGCTTCACAAGCAAAGCTGATTCGAGTTTTGTTTATGTCCAGAATTACTTACAGGAGTCAAAGCATTTAAATTTCTTCAATTTGTGGGATTCCCAGTTGATTTCTCTCACCAAGATACTGAAATCGATTCTTATTGCATAAAAATGGGCGATCATTTCGTGTTTTTGGTTGATCGGTTACTCACCGAATCCACTTTAGAAGCTGCAATCGAAAGTAGAAACCCTTCGTACCCTTTATCTCCCGCCATCGACACCATGATCGATTGTTCTTCGCATATGGATCATCCTGAAACTCCTTTCACTCCTAGAAAAATGGTGGAATGCAGAATTTGTCAGGATGAGGATTTTGATTCGAATATGGAGACTCCTTGCTCTTGTTGTGGTAGCTTGAAGGTCAGTTTATTCTGCAACAAGTGATTTTAACTTTTAAGCATATGAGAATTATGAATCTATCCCGTTTTACTTTTTGTAGTATGCTCATCGCAAATGTGTTCAACGATGGTGTAACGAAAAGGGTGATACCATATGCGAAATATGCCACCAGGTCCGATTTCATCTTTTTTCCACTTCAAATCCTTTCAAATCCTTCTCATATTCCACTAATTTCCAAATATATACACAAACTTCCATCAAATAATCATCTTTTTGATATGATTAACTGCAGCAATTCAAACCAGGGTATACAGCACCACCTCCCGTATTCCGATTGGGCGTCATTCCCGCAAATATAAGGTGAATTTTGACTTTTTGAGGTCAAATCCACGCAAAATTCGATTTCAATTCATGGTATATAATCCAAATTTGTCCTTCATTTTTTTTCTCAGGGGGCATTGGCAAATTGCGAGAAGGGATATGAACGATGAGACTCGAATAATTACAGTCGTTTCTTCTGATCATAATTTACTCGATCAGGAATACGATGAGTATGCAGATTCCACTGCAAGAAGCATTATGTGTTTTCGTTCAGTTGCTATCATTGTAATCTTTCTCTCTATACAACCATATAACCATTTTCAATTTGTACACTTTTTGTAACATTTTTTTTTGTATACAGTTCATGATTGTATTGATTTTGCGTAACACGTTACCTATATTTGCAAATGGAGGGGCAAATTACTCTTTACCGGTGTTTCTGGTATGAAATAGTAACGAATTTTATTCTGATTTTGTTTTTATAATAGTATAAAGTTATATAATCATGGGTTCCTCGTTTTTTATACAGTTGTTACTCATAAGAACTTCTGGAATCATTTTACCGATCTATCTAATCCTAAGAGCCATGTCAGCATTGGTACATAGGCGGCGCCACTTGGTGAGTAGCTTTATCATGTCTTGCATTTTTTAGCCGTTGGATTGGGCTTTAGTGGGCCATGATTGGGTGTCTAATGGGTCAATTTCGTAATTTTCAGGTGTCAAATGGGTCGTCGTCGTCTTTTTCTTCTGATGATGAGGAAGCAGGTGCGACATCAATGCAAGGTGGTGGTGTTGATTGATGGGTTTGGGTCCATTTGAAGTATCCATGGTCAACAAGACTCGAGAGGTCAAACCATGTGATTTATGGGTTTGTTGCACGTGTACACCCTTTAATGTTGGATCTCAAAAGCATCCTGAAAATCTTCTTTTTTTAGAAGAAATCTTGGTGTATAGTTTGTTAAGTCAGGTTTTTTTTTTTTTATATGTAAGTGGTTCTTGGTATAGACATGGTGGGAACTTGTTTAGAATTAGAACACCATATCTCGTATACAAGGGTAAATTACAATATGGAAAATTTGAAGTTGATGGTTGAACTATTGATGAATCTATGTAAAAATGACTAATATTCCTTCCAATTCTTTTACCTGATGTTGATGTTAAAGAAACCCTAAATCCTAAAATCAAATTAACCCATGTGTATTGGGCTTCGATGTCCTTTATCCCTAAATCTACTAACATCAAAGAAATTGAAAAAAGTTTGAGTGGGTTCTTGTGGTGTTGTGGAGATATGCATACATAAAAAGCTAAAATGGCACTGTCTTAGCATTTGTAAGCTAAACTCATTGTTTTCCCTTTTATTCTCTTACATTTGGAAAACAATATCAGGAAATAACTCATTGTGGGTGAGATGATATGAATCTTTGAGGGTGAAAATTTTGGGATATTAGATTAGAGTCTAGTCTATTGGTGGTTTTATTCTCTTACATTTGGAAAACAATTTCAAAGTTGAAGAATATTGGCAACACAATCAAAAAATTGGCTCTTGCAGCGATGGTCTATCAGAACAGGAGGATGGAATGGTGGTTGTGATCCATTGCTTATGTATGGACTAAGGTGGATGGAAAATGAGCTAAAAATTCTAATAAATATATGGATCTTGAAAATGTTGTGTTAGACTGATGATATGAGAAGATGGTAAATTGGAGAATGATATGGGGATTGATTGCATGATGGAGTCGTGCTTGATCATTAGATGGAAGTATTCAACTAATGTGAAGGCCTATGACTGGAAAGTTTTATTCTACGTACTTGTTGGTTAGACCTATTATTTTGTTTTGATACTTTGGATATACCTTTTTGGGTCTATCCAAAAATTTAGTTTTTTTCTTTGTGACATTATGCTTCGAGGAATAAAGTTCACTATAGGTGTCGTTTTATATATATATATATATATATATATATATATATATATATATATATATATATATATATATATATATATATATATATATATATATATATATATATATCAACCCTTGAGCAATTTTGTGGCCCAGTAGCCATTTAGGGTTTTATTTGGTATTTAGCTTTCTTTGATTATCATTGAGATGAGAAAGATGAAAAGAATTACAACAAAGAGACTCCACTAGTCAAGATTGGATGGAATGAGGCTTAAAAAAATACAGAAAAAATACTGAGTCTTTTGAATTTAAAATAATGAAGGATTAAGATTAAAACAAAATAATCGTAAAAGGAAGAAGTTATAAGGCGCATTGAGGTAAACAACCATCCAATGAGTGATGTTGAAGATGAGGTGACTATTGCTCGGAGTGACATTGATCTTATCGAGTCTTTTGAATTTAAAATGGCAACGACTATCAAGTTTAATATGATAAAATGGGAAAATCATGACTCTTGAAGGCAAAAATTGAGATCATATAAACTAATGGTGATATAAGTGATGTTTATGCAAACCAAAAACTCAAACACAATTATACATGTTGTCAACGAACTACAAAACAAGCCAGCTTCTATTTTCTGGACATCAAACGAAAAGTCCAACATTTAATCAACCTTTCATTAAAGGCCTTTAGTTCTTGGAAAACCACAAAACATATAGAATAAGTACTAATAAGTTATGATGTATGAGAAATCTATCTCTAATAAATGATTTTTTATTATTATTATTTTTTTAATAACTTGTCAAATTCTCAAGAGTTTTGCCACATACAATTTTGTGGGAGTTTTACAATTATTATTTTCTACTTGTTATTTTTTGGAAATTTTCATATTTTGAAATAAAATTCCATAAAATTCTAACAAATTTTATAATAAAAAAGAATCATTCTATTAATTTGATAAAAAAAGTCTCATAAATTCTCTAAAAAATATTTGATTTCTTTTATAAATGTTTCAAAAGATTACATTATGTTATATAAAAGTGTTATTTTATCAAATATTTAATGTTTAAATATGGATATTAAATTTTTATTTTTAATAACTTGTGTAGTACACGCGTCTCACACCTAATTTCTATACAAAAATATTTGTCACCAAGTGTCGCTTTTACTTTAAATATAATGCGAATGGACTAAAAATAAAATGAGAATTATGAGAACAATTCTCATCCAATCATTTTATTTAATTAAGTTAATTAAGATATATTTGGCAAGTCAATAAATAAATCTTATTAAAAATTGGATTAATAAAATATAAGGGTAAATGGGTAATTGTAATTTAAGTTAGTTTAAGAAATATGAGAAAATGGTGTGATTGTTCAATTTTTTAAAAATACATACTTTTTAAATTTTCAAAAATTAAAATAATGAATTTTAAATTTAGAGTTTAAGCTTGAATTCTAGAAGCTATCCAGTTTTCAGATAAGGAAAAAAACTAAATTAAGATTAAATCTAATTATTTAATTGATTAGAACACTAATGAGACCTATCAACACTCCTAAACAACGAATTTTTACATCATTCAAGGTTCCTTCATGAGTGTAACGTAGGACAACAAAGAACTTGAAGAAAACGATTTATACCTTATATCGAATTGAGAAACTTCATAGATTTGATTAACAACTCCAAATATGAAAGCTCTCTCATGAAATCTCTCACGGATCTCTTTAGAAGTACTTGGTGGTTTCAAATGGAACTAATTCCGGGGATTTAGGGTTAGGTATCCTGAAATACAACACAAATTACAAACCAGACCCTCAAAGTATGAGAAAATGACCTCATGACCCATATACATGATCAATAACTGTTTTATTACACTTTTGGTCTACAAAACTTGACTAAAACAATATAAAATGATGATTTAACGGAAACTATAATAGAACTACCTAGGTGACAAGATTGGAAACGTCAGGTTGTTACACCGGTTTACCAAATACCTTCAAAGGTTTCCAACTACTCACTAATCACCATCAACAAGTTTTGATAATCATTTGTTACGTGCAAATAAATATACTCATTTTCACTTCTTTCTTGTGTTTCATACTCTCCATTCAGAGTTATTGTAACATTGAATAAATTACATACTTGATATCTTTCGGCACCATACAAATATATTTGTCAAACATGTTTCTCTCGGACTGATTTTCTCCAAACAATGGATATTTAAAAAAAGGTGATTTGGAGATTGTTTAAAACCATGTATAATGAAAAATTTGCAAATGCAATTTTTTTTTCAAAATATATATAGTCTGGAATATGTCAAATAACTAAAGTCAAAAAATGTATGCATATTATGGAATGTCCGAAAATGTGACATTTCACATGTCAAGATAACTGAAGTATGAAATATATGTATCCCCATATGTGTCATCTAACTCAAGTCTAAAATGCACGATTCTTATGACATGTTGAAACAAAATTTATGTATCTAAAATACAATGTTTTGGACATGTCAGTTAATTCAATAAAATTAGTTATTTTTTTTTATTCTCCGTAACCATGTTGTCATTTTTGTAAGTATCCTTATTTTTAATACATGGTCCATCAATTCATTTCCAAACCTATCCTTTTTAATGGCAACTCCACACTTGATGTGTTAAAAATCTATCTCTAAATTGAAGATGTTACACTACGGTTCATTATTTTTAGAAAAGAAGCTGACTTTTTTTACGGGTTACTTTGATATTTCCATTGATTAATTAATGTATATATTATTTTACCTTCAAAGCTATTTAATAAATTTATAAATAAGCAATATATGGAGGTATTTTTTCACAATAATTTAATATCAAAAACTTCATTTATATCCTTATAAACCTTTAATATTACTTAAACATCCTTATAAATTTTAAAACTATATATATATATATATATATATATATATATATATATATATATATATATATATATATATATATATATATATATACTTCTAAAACTATAAATTTTACATCTATGTGGAAGATTATATTTTAATTATAATTAAATTAATTAAATATTTAAAAAACTTATTTATAAATCAAAATACCATATGATATTACTAAACTATCATTCCTAAATAAAAGATTATTTCTACTTACATTAAACTTACGAGATGCTTATCCCTAAAACTTACAAAACCTGTCGGGAAAAGAAATAGAAATTGGGAAGAGGGAAACATAGGGATATAAAAGGGAAAGATATAGAGAGATGGAAAGAAAGAAATATAAACTGAGAAGAGGGAAACTAAGTATAAAGACTTATGGCCTATGTGCCTACTGATAATGGATACTTAATCCTTTGAGAAAGTATTTTTCATAATGGTAGTAAGGCTGTCAAAATCGAGATCTTATCTAAGCTCGTTTAACGTTTTGCAAGATCGCAATTGTAAGATCGGATCGACATCGAAAGATTCTACCAAAATGAACTCATAGTCAAATTAGCTCGCAAGATAGTATAATCAACTTTAGCATCTTAAGCATCATCTATAAATTTTGTTGCTACAAAGCATAAAAATTAAGAATAAAACATCTTAATTAGAAATAAGATCATTTTGATCATGTATAAGTAGGACATAAGAACACAAATGGATTATTATGGATGTATTGTGTTTAACTCGGGATGAATTGATAAAATGGTGATGCTCTCGAAGACTTCTTACAACTTGTGATGCCCTATTTAAAGTTAAATAAATGAATTTTAGATAGATTCCTATATAAAAAAAACTAAAGAGGTGGGATCGGGATCGTTTTCGCTTGTATGATCTTAAAATCGTAAGATTGTAAGATCAAAATCTAGATTTTAACAACCTTGATGGTATGAAAGTGTTAAAAAGCCTATACAACGTAATATGATGGTATTAACCATGCTTGGTACATATTTAATTTTCAAATTTGCACTGGTTTAATAACTAGAAGAAAAACCTGCAAAAAATGATCCAAACCACGAAAGTTTTGGATTAACATTCCATTTGAGTATGTTTATATGTGTTTTTGGCCGCTTGAAAAATTGAAAAGACTAAATTGTCCTTTAGATACATTTTTATGTTTTTTTCTATTTAATTTAATCTTTTATTAATAATAAAGACGAGTCTCTCTCGCTAAAAAAAATACAAACCTACGAAGCAAAAAATCAAATATTTTAGATTTGATCAGTGTCTCCATAATTTGTTTCTTCAACACTGTGACTTTATTTGATCATGAAGAATGCTTTGGCTGTG